GGTGTAGTGCAGGGGGCAGAGGGTTCAGGTGGAAAATCCAGGCAGCTCCCCTCTGGGTGTGTTTTTGGGGGTTGTTTTTGGTTTTTTGGTGGTTTGGGTTTTTTTAGGGTTTGTTTTGATTTTTGTATTGAGGTTTGGATTTTTTTTTTAATAGGGCACAGAAGGAAAGGATAGTGCACAGTGCTGAAATTCGTGAGCTGGTCGCTGAGGCAGGTATCCGAAAAGCGCCAGTTGCTGGAGCACTACATTACTGTCATCCTTCGTGCTAGCGTGAGCTTTTATGTGCCTTTCCGAGGAAGGTCACTTTTTACCCCCCCACCCCTCCCCCCAATCCCACCCTCTTTTTTTTGCTAATTGAATTCCAAGAAGCTGTAGGTGTTTCTTGGCATTTCAACTGGGATTTTGGAAAGGGAAGCCGGGTATTTAATGGGAAAAAAAAATTGCGATGGAAGGAAGGGATGCGGAGGCTGCACACAGCTCTGGGTTTGCAGGCGTGTGGAAGTTGTTGAAATAGGTAAAGGGTTGCAACTGGCATTTGGAAAATGGTAACTATTTCTTTAGTTACTTACATCACGGATGAATATAAGGGAAAACTGGGCCACTAAGAATTTTTCCTGTTTTGCAGTTTGCTGTCAGCAGAAGGTAAAAAATGTCCTTGAAAATATACAATTTTACATAAACAGCTGATGTTTACATAATCCTAGATAAGTTTGTGAAAAACACAGATAGTAGAAGATGCGGTGTTAGCTAAACTTGGTTATCCTGCTGTTTGTCTGTGTAATAGTTTATCTTTTTTTTTTTCTTTTTTGTCTTGTTGCAGTGTAAGAACAAAGTGACCAGCTGCACCTTTACCAAAGCAACCACCTACATTCCTCCTCTCCTCTGGAATGGACAATGGGATGGTCTCTGACTTTATCATGATCAAAAACTTATTCCTCTTCTGCATTTCCATGAGTTTAGCCAGCCACTTCGGGTGAGTTGCCAATTGTGTCTGAATTTTTTGCTGTGGGTTTTTTAAGGCAATGAAAAAACCTTGGCTCCATGTGGTGTGGAGCAGCTGAACAAAACAAGTGGGCTTTGCATTTCGTCTTAAAATGCTGGTGTCAGGGGGAAGGGAGCGTTTTGCTTTCCTGCTCAAAATTTACTGTATTGTATCAATTCTTTATGCCTGTAATGCTTGGGGGAACATGGGGAGCTCAGCTCAGGCCCACAGCTGCTCTGACCTGGCTACAGCACAGCCAGGGGCTGTGGTGGTCACTGTCCCTATGGCTGTGATGTAGGGGCTTGCACCTTCCCTCTCACCTGGTGGATGCAGGCTGTAGGCAGCAGGGCAAGACTGCAACAGCAGGAGACACTGCGTGCTGCTATCTGGTGCAGGCTTTCCTAGTGAGTAAGCGGAGATCGTGACTGCTCAGAAGGATGGCTGAGTTTGAAACTTGCTAGAATATTTAGGTATTGTGTTTTCCCTGAAGCATATAACAAGGAATCTTGTTTCCTTATTTTTGCTTTGGATGCTTTCCTGACAGTGATATTCTGGAAAGTGTATTGAAGAAATACTCCTACTATAGCTCTTAGGAAAAAAACCTTAACAAAACCAAACCAAACAGAAAACCCCTATTTACATGTTTTTTTCCTAAACCCAGAGATCTTAAGAACTTTCCAAAATCAGGCTATGCAATGGAGTCTAGAAAAAGCATTTTGCAAGTGCTCTGCAAACGTAGGTTGATCCTTCTTTGTGGAGGAGAACAATTATTTATGATTTCACCAGAAAAAAATGAATCCTCCCAACGTGCTGATTCACAAGCACACCCATGAATTCCTTGCTATAAGAAGATATAAAATGGAGATGCAAATCAGTTTCAGATTTCAAGCGAAGTGATTTTTTCCAGATTGGAACCAGGAGAAAGACCAAACTTTAAGCGATGACTGTCTTTGCTGTAAGCAAAACTTGGCCCTGTCTCCAGCGTGTGTCCTACGTAGGCAGGTGGAAGCCTGTGACCGCAGTGGCGTACATGAATGGTTGTAGGACTGCATACTACAAAGGATGCAAAGAGCTGCACACTGATTTATTCACCTTGGAAAGGCCTGGTCCTGCTTTCCCTGTGGTGTAAGGCAAAACTCTTCCTGAACTTTGTGTCAGAAATGAAGAGGGCATAGATAGTGAGGGACTGGTTTTTAACTTGTCTTGACGTGGTTGTGATTTGACAAAGTATTAGCACATTGAGAAAAACTTCAAGACTATAACCTTAAGTCCTTCCTCATTGTCCATCATCCCTGCAGAAGGCAGCGTGTTGCAGTAGTTGAGCTTGACCTGTTTGGAGTGGGTTCTTTTAGCCGTGTTACTCTAACAGAAGAATAGATAGGTGAGGCTGCAAAAAAACAGAGAGTTTGACTCTCCCTTTTGACGCTAAAGCAAATACTGAATCTAAGTCTTAAGTCGGAATTGCTGTGACCTGTAACCTGGCAGATAATCAGAGCAGGACAGTTAGGGGAAACTAGGACACTTGTTTTCTACAAGTTACTCAAAAAGCTTCTGTGCAGTAAAATGAGATGATCACGTAACCTCCCAGCCGCCCCCCATTTCTGATCTAGTAATTTTAGTCTGGGCCTGCAGAGATAAGCAGCTCCAATTCGCTGCACCATTCACACGCTGCCTTAGGGGCTGAATTTTGACCCTGCTCAAAAGACACAGGATGCTCCAGCGCTTCTGTTTCAGAGGCAGAAGCAGTTTCAGAGTGTAATTTGCTAAGTGCTTTGGGACTGACTCTTCGGGACAGAACGGTACAATTTACATTTAGGCTGGTTTATTAACTGCAGGAATCTAATACTGATAATACTTGCTGTTGCTACCAGGTTCTTCTTTATTAGCTTCGTCCATGTTTGGACTGCACAGTTACACTGCAGTGCATTTTGTGATGTGCTAGATAAAAGTGATTGGTCAAATGAGCACAAAATTAAAACGCAAAATACAGCAGGACATTACAGACGAAGGCAGAGATTTGTCTACGATTCTCCATAGTCATTCCATATTTATATTAAATCATACAGTTTTTGCTGACATAACCAAAGCCACCTTGGGGGGTTTTGATGCACAATGCCTGGTAAACTAAACAGGAATTATCTATCTCAGTCTCCTAGGCTACTTCAGAAATCTCAGCAAAAGTCTGTGATTAATGTTTAACATAAATGTGGAATGACTATCGAGAGTCATCCACATCAATAGGCAGTAGAGAAAGACTGTAGGCATAGTTGGTAGAAGTTATTTAAAGAAAAATCACGGAATTAAAATTCAAAGATACAAATGAAATGAGAAGAGGATGTAAAGCTCTGCACCATTGTTGGTGTAACACTTTTATGAGTCTACTTCTGCAGAAATGGTCCAGCACGAGTCACGGATTTTTCAAGCTTGCTTGAATTCAGCCTTGAGTTGTATAATGCTCTAACGAGTTAAGGTGTTCTACTGAAGCATTTCAAGGTAGTTCACAATTGTCTTGGGAGTAAACAATAATAATGGAGCTAGAGAATAAATCAAATATAACTATGAAGAGTGCTTTCAGATGAGACAGGACTCTGATTCCTTGTGGGTTCTCGGGTACCCCACATAGTGGTACCTCTGCGAGGATCGGTGCCATGGGTGACTGCCTGCACCGAGGTCTCTCTGAGACTAAGTAGCCTGTGGTCAGCTCCATTGCCCCAGGCCAGCCTTACTGCATCCTGACTCTTTGTTGCAAGCCCCAAACTGTCCATGAGCACATCTGTGGGGACATGCTGATGACACACAGTCCTTGCATGTCTGTTATTTGGACGTGCAATTTCAGAAATCTGAGAGCCAAAACCAACAGGGATGAGTGTTGTTGGTGTGCCCACAGTTTAGTTGCCATCTGCTACTAATATTTATAATAGTAGAAATATGGAAAACAGAAGATCCCAATTAAACTTAGCCAGTGCAAGACTTCTCTGTATGCTGTAAGAATTCTGTCTGTTGCGTGTCTGTAGTTTCACATACTTTTCCACTAGCTCACAGCCATTATCACTAAGACCATAATCCTGCTATTTAGGCTAAACATACCTCTCCTTCAGGCTGTTATTTCAAGTTAGTCTCTGCAACCCTAAGTAGTTAGTTCTGCTGGGTTATCCATTTCCAAGTACTTGCAGATGCTAGAGAGTTCTTCCTCATATTTTTAAGTCAAATTTTGTAAGCATTATTATATCCTTATGGAGTCGTGCTTGTCTGTTTATTTGGTAAATTCTGATTTCCTTCCCTTCTCTGTGTCTCCAGATAGCTTTTTTGAACCCATTAGACAATTTTAATAATTGGAAAACTAAGTGGGTACCTAGAACTGCTTGGAGGAGGCAAACAGACATCAGTCAATCCCTCTGCTGAACAGAAAGCTACAGCTTCAGCACCTCTGTTTTGCTGAGTCTGCCAGCTGGCCAAACAGCAGGCATGCATCTGGCAAGGCCACCCAGCCCAGGCTTGGTGCAGAACCAGCCCTGGCACGCTTTGCCTCCTGGTGAAGCTGCAGGTCAGTGACCAGGGGAGCTGAGAGTGCTGGGAGGTGTTTAATGCCCCAGAAGAAATTCAGGATATTGAAAGGGGCGTTAAGGTGCAAGGGGGTGAGGACAGTAAGACGTCAACCTGTGAAAAACAGGCTTTTATTGCGCTGCTCACAAATTGCTTGTTCCCAGAAAGTAGTAAAATACTACTCCTGCTAAATAAAATAATTAAATTATTCCTTAAAGATCTGCTAAGACCATTAAAGTTCCATTATTTTCAGTCAGTCCTCTCCTCTCTTCTAATGATGTGGAAGAATTGAATCTTCATTGCACAAATTCACAAAATACCAGCATTTTCATATCTCAAGAATCTGTAAGAAAGGGATGGTAAGAAGCTAACTTAGAAAAGTAAATCCTTTGATATCTCGCCACCTGACAGTATGCAAAAGTGTGCAAGTGCGTTCCCCACTATCTTTTCCTCAAACTATTAATTTGTCTGAAGTCCTGGTATAATTCCAATCCTATTAAAGCAAGCTATTGGAAACTCTACTTCTAAGAGAGAAAAAAAACACTGCTTTCAGTCACAAAATACTCCTCGGTTAGTTTTCCAGTAGCTTTTTTTTTTTTAAAGTTTTGGGAAAATAATGAAGTATCTATCATACGTTTTCTTCTTACTACAACTAAGCTATGAATAGTACCCGTCATGATTTTGACTAGATGGCAAAAAAGACAGTGATGTTTAAAATGGTAAACCATGAACTTCTCAGAAGAGGTAGCTGAGAATCTTTAGAGAGTTATTACATTTTACACTGGTGGGCCCCTTCTGCTTGTTCTGATTTTTGTCAGTCACCCTGAAATTGCAATATTAAAGCAATGTGATGAGAAGTGGTCCTGGTTGGTTTAGTTTATGTTCAGTAATGAGCTTTAAATGTAATTATCTTTGAATTTTCTTAGCATTTTCCAAAGGTTCTTTTCTGGGTTTATTTTTATCCATAACTGAAAATGTCTGCTATAAAAACATTTTTGGTTGCAGAGAGACAATAATGTGCTTACCTACTAATATGTTGTTAAAACCTAATCTTGAGCTGTGTGGAAATAATTTAGGGTATCACCTGTTTTCTCACAATTCATAGAGCTATAGCATCTAATGTATGCACATAGCTTTGCAAGTACAGTTTATAGGTCTCGTGTCATAAAAGCAACCTCAGCACTTACTGCAAAACGTGAGTTGCTGTTTTGCTAGCAATATAAATTAAATACAAACTTTTCTATGAAAGAAAAGGTGTCATCTGCATTAATGGCAAACAGTAATCCATCTACACATGCAGCTTCACATGATACTGACATTTCACCGAAATTCAGCATCAGATGCCTTCTTTTTTGGGTGAAACGATCTGCCAAATCTAAATTGGATTGCAGTTTTGCAGATGAAGTACAGACTTTTTATAAGTCTTTACCCTAGTTGTTTCTCCATCTTTCTCATCTATTAATTAGCTTTTCTTGTGGAGATATAAAAGTATTTCAACATTTGAGGTGTGTATACTATTCTTGTGAAAGATGTACATAGCTGAGATAGAAGGAAGCAGCATCAATTACTCTTGTTAGATTCAGAGGAGCAGTTATGCGAACTATTTTGTCCCATCCCCACAAAAATAGTTCAATGGAAATCTTCCCTCTGAGTTCAGTTGGCTTTGAATTCAGCCATAAGCACTAAAAATAACAAGCTTTTTCAGGAGCAGAGAAACTAGAGAAGCTTTGTATCCTGCGCCCCGAGCATCGTACCTTTGCTCTGATAATCCTGGCTCTGCATTTGGTATCCCTTGTTCCCATCTCCCATTGCAACACCTGCATTTTACCTCTGCCGTCCTTTCCTCCCAGGATCTTTCCTCACCACCCTGCAAGTCTCCTCTATATTGCTTAATTAGCAGAGAGGAGGTGGGCTGGTTTTGCTGAGGCTGTTTCTGAGCTACATGTGTGCTGACTGGCCCAGTCAGAGAGCCAGAGGGAATAGATGACTGCTGACCTCACATTTTTACTTAATGAGGCACTAATTTAGATCACTCTCCCCTTGTCTAGTCACTGCTTCTCATAAAAACTTGTAGGAATGAAATGAAGTTTGATCTTGCTTCTTCTTTGTCAGATGCATTGGAAAATGAAAGCAGGTTACTACATTGAAGCAGTGAAGCAGGCAGACAGCATGATGCGTATCTCTTTCTTAGGGAAAAAAAAAGAATCTAACATAAATGAGAAAAGTTTAAAATAGTATTCTAGGAATTTGGTATTCCCTTACCAAAGGGTTAGTTATGGCCACTGCATATGAAGAACCTCTGTAATTTCTGTCTTCTGTTTGTATTCACTAGGCTGCTGCTTATAAATATTCACCTTTATGTGGTGAATCCCATTGATTACAGTTGACAAAAAAAGTGTATAGTCCTTTGTAATTGAATGGTCTGGCCTGCAGGGATGTCTTAATGTTTCTGTAATCAGTTTGCATCTGCAGGTTTAACTGTCTTTCATTACCGTAAAACATGTCCACGATGTTACCTGCTCCAGTTACTCACTAGAGGTTGTGGTCACAGCATAGAAAACAGAATTAATTTGTCTTTTCACCACAGAGAGGTGGGATGACCTGAAAAATGAGTGAGATTTGTGGTTATGCCTCCATGTGCAGTGAAGGGGAGCTCCTTGGTGGCCTTGGACTTTCCAGTGCTGAGCTTGTCGAGGGTCGCAGCAGTGCTGACTGCATTCAGGCCATGAGGAGCCTCCTTAGCCAGGATTTTGCATGTGCTTTGGCGTTCCTGGGAATTGGATCCATACTCCCACTGCCCAGCCTCACTCCCCTTTCCTGAGAGGCTTTGCAATCCCTTTCTTTTCCATCAGAAGCATACAAGCTATAAAGGGAACAGGCACAGGACTGGTGGTCCCCGTGACTGTCAGGCTCTACATGGCCACAAGCCTGTCCTCAGCCAGGTCTTGTGTCACTAAAACTTCCAGACTCATTACAGAGGTGCCAGCGAGGTCTCATTAATGTAAAACTTGTCCAGGTAAAACCAGGTTGAAGTCCCTTGTCTGTCTTTGTATTAATCCTGTTTCTTTAGGTAAGCCTAATGCATATGTTATAAGCTTTCAGCAAGGCAAGCTGTTCAGAGGAGTGCTTTGAGGTTCTCTGTTTATTTACTGATTTATTTCCCTGGGAGCTGGTAGTAAATAAACACGGATTTTTAAATTATTATTTTTTTTTTTTATTTCTGGGTGACCGGCTCATGTCGAGTTCAGGTGGTTGGAGTGTAAGTGATTCTTATCTGTTGGCAGCATGCATGAGGGAGGGTATGGTTCCTCATGGGTCAGCATGCCCTGTCGTAGCTGGAGCATTTGTTGGTGATTTCAGCAGAGATTGGAACTTGAATAAGCACTGAGTGGGAGCAAACTTGCTGTCCTTAGAGGTGCTCACTGCTTGCTGCAGGTGAAGCATGCTTATGGATAAACTTCTGTCTGTTTTTTAGATAAGCAAAGGTATTAGTAGGCAGGGGATTCTCCTGATTCTTTAAATGAAAATCAAGTGGACTTAAAAATGCAAGTTACAGTGGTGCTGTGAACAGCTTCTGAGGTCTGAGCCATGGATAAAGTGATGAAATAAAAAAAAAGTTCAGAATAAAAATAAATCTGGCCCAAAAGATATGGAATGAGGCTCACTACACTTGGCTGTTATTTGCATACTACAAGGGAGGACTAATTTATGCAAAAGAGAGAGGAGGAATGAAGAACTGCGTTTTCTGTACTGTTTCATAAACTTTCTGTTTATTCAGATACACCCGTGATCTGAGGTGGGATTTTTGAATTGAATGGTAGTTGGTTATCCTCAAATAAGGTTAGAGTTCATCCTTTGTTCTGGCAATAAATGACATAAACTGTGGAAATTAGAAGCTGTTTGGCATGTGAAGATTAAAGAGTACCTTCAGGCAGACTGGAAGGGGTGTCCTCAAGCAAACCCATGCTGCTCTTGCAGCTCCCCTGCCAGCTGATGCAGCTCCCAAAGACTAACCAGCTAACCTGGGATAAAACAGTAACAGCTTTTACTGGCCCCATGAGCTTACCTTGCTCTCTACAGGGGACAGAGTCATGCCAGTGCTGGTAAGTGGTGGGGCTGAGGTGAGGCAGGGCAGCACAGGGGATTGGGATCTCCTTGTGCCATTATGGCAAGAGGTTCAGTGGGCTTAGGCATCCCCTTGTCCAGCACACCAGGGCTGCACTTCCATGGCATGGGTCCTTCTTTGGGTTTTCCTTCTCCAGGGAGAGCTATTTATTGTTGCTTATACCAGTGATGAAATTGCCATGACTCCCCATGCTGCTCAGCTGGAGCAGCAGGAGAGGGCAGAGGCTTGGAGACTCTGTTGCAGATTTCCCTTGAGACTGAAGCCCCTTGAGGCTGGCACAGCTTTTGACATGTTTCTTTCCGTTTGCATAAAATAGCTTCTCGCAAACACCAACAGCATCGGGAAAAGAGGACGCCAATGATAACATCACTATATTCACCAGGATCTTGGATGGTCTGCTGGACGGCTACGACAACCGACTGCGCCCGGGACTGGGAGGTAGGATAATATGCTTGCTATCACCAGTCCCCTGCTATGCAGGACCATCATCTACATGATGCCTTCCCAAATGGGTACCTGCTCTTGGGACAGGCCTTGGCGAGGGAGTTGTTTCATTAGCTAAAGGTAGTCCAGAAAATAGGTTTGTTTCCTGGCAAGGGGAGCACAACACAAAGGTCACTGAAAGTTGTTTTCTTTCAGTCATTGAGATCATCTGAGGCTGGATTAGGAGAGCATGTGTGATGCCTTTTTTACTGTAAATGAATACAGTTTGGGTTTCTTTTCTTTCTGGTACTCCCTTAGGTGAGCGAGGCAGGGTGCTAGCAGGTTGCTGCAAGGTTCCCTCTTTGGTCAGCATGTACAAAATTGTGCCAGTGACAAAAACCTCTCTTAAAAACAGATCCCCAAGCCATCCATTTTTAGATAGCTGCAGAAAATCAGTATTGATATGTCATTTTGATAACCTCTACAGCAGCTATTTTAAAACCGTAACATGGGAATAGTTGCTTGCCATCCTAACCTTGTTGAGCCCTCCTTCAGCTCTCTATCCCCCAGATTTCTCTCATCTTCTACCCATGTGTAAACCATCTGTTATGTTTCTTCCTGGCCCTTTTTTAATCTGGCTACCCCCACCCTTTCCTCTTGTGAGACCAACACATTGCTTTCATTCCTTTCTCTCCTTCTCTTCTCACTTTACACAGACATGCTTGAAAATAGGGCTCTGTGCTCTTATGTTATGTAACGAACTTCTGAAATTTCTGCCCTTAAATTAAATTAGTCCTGGATTTGAAAAGATGCCAGAAGGACTTAGAGTCTTGAGGGTAGACCTCACCTAACTTTGGACATTTGCATCAAAATATGTGTGACCACCAGGTCAAGAGAAGTGTTTCTTCCCGTCAACTCTGTGCTTGTGAGTACTGTGTTCAGCTGTGGGATCTCCTAGTATAAGAAAGACATGGACCTGTTGGAGTGGGTCCAGAGGAGGGCCACAAAGATGATCAGGGGACTGGAGCACCTCCCCTGTAATGATAGGCTGAGAGAGTTGGGGTTTTTCAGCCTGGAGAAGAGAAGGCTCCAGGGAGACCTTCTAGCAGCCTTCTGGTACTTAAAGGTGGTCTAGAGGAAAGCTGGGGAGGGACTTTTTACAAGGGCATGTAGTGATAGTTCAAAGGGTGATGGCTTTAAACTGAAAGAGGGTAGATTTAGACTAGATATTAGCAAGAAGTTCTTTATTGTGAGGGTGGTGAGACACTGGAACAGGTTGCCCAGAGAGGTTGTGGATGTCCCCTCCCTGGAAGTGTTCAAGACCAGGTTGGACAGGGCTTTGGGCAACCTGGTCTGGTGGGAGTTGTCCCTGCCCATGGCCGGGGGGGAAGGGTGAACTAGATTATCTTTAAGGTCCTTTCCAACCCAAACCCTTCTGTGATTCTATGATCTATGATCAAAACCTGTCAGACAGAGGAATTACACTCTTGAAGGGCCTGTTTCTTTCCACTGATTATAAGAAGAGAGCCTGGGCTCCCAAAGGTCAACTGCATTCGATCAGGGATGAAATTCTTCCCAAATATCTTCTTAAGCTAAAGCTTTTGGGGATTTTTCAGTGATTCAGAAATTGTTGATAGAGAAGTGCATCACAAGCACATATTTGCATCTAGAAGTGATTACTAATGCAGAGCCTATATTTATTACAGAAAGAATAACTCAGGTGAAAACAGACATCTATGTTACCAGTTTTGGTCCTGTGTCAGACACAGAAATGGTAAGTTCGAGCGCGTGGCTGTCAACTCCATGGTATTTACCTTGCTAAAGTAATTTTTGGAACTACTGCTTCTATTCAGATCCTGCAATACCTCAACTGTTTCTTTGTGCCAGGAATACACCATTGACGTTTTTTTCCGACAAAGCTGGAAAGATGAAAGGCTGCGATTTAAAGGACCTATGCAACGCCTCCCTCTTAACAACCTGCTCGCCAGCAAGATTTGGACCCCGGACACTTTTTTCCACAATGGCAAGAAGTCTATTGCTCACAACATGACAACCCCAAACAAACTTCTGCGCCTGGAGGATGACGGCACGCTGCTGTATACCATGAGGTAATAACCGGGATCAATTTCTTCTGATGCTGATTCCCAACTAGCTCTGCAAATACCTGTGGGGAGTGTCACTTCCCTCACTCCTAGTAGAGCCCAGCACCAGTCTTTCACACATATTTATGTGAATATCAAGAAAAATGGAAAACATAATCACTGCCTACAAGTACCAATTAATTTGTAGCTTCTGAATACTGCTAGTGCTTAAATATTTCCTTTGATTAAATGGAAGGCATATTCTCAACAGATTTGATGATTCAGTCCAGCCTTTTTTATGAAGATCTGTTCTCCCTTACTGTTTGTATTTGTAGCAGCAGTGCTGATTGCAGGAGAACTGTCTCCAAGGCTAGAAACTGAGATCTTGTTCAGGAGCAGTACATCTTGAACCCTTGGAGCTTTTATAATTATTTTTTTCAACTTTGCTAATAGCGCTAAAAGGCAAATCATCATAGGGATAAATGAAATAAGCTAGCAGCACTGTGAAGCAGCTCTTGCAAGTACTTCCCTGAAAACAAAGCTGGCACATTATATTGGCAGAGAAGCAAATTGGTGTCTCAGATCTTCAGGGTCATGCACCTCATCTGATTAGACGATACTGTCAAGCTTCATCATTGCATAACCTAGATATAAGATATAGGTTATTGGTGATATTAAAGGATTGTCAGAAATTCTTCTCAGGCCAAAACCCCCATCAGTGTAGAGCAATTTGCTCATTAAAGGTAATTAGCCTATAGTAATTAAGACTGCTGTCTAGCTTCAACAAGGTTTTCTCCCAAGACTGTAGTCATATGGACAACACTTGAAAAAGAGATGAAAGAAGAAACCTACTGAGCAACCAGGTGTTATTCTGAGCTTTTCACATAAGAGCCCAGAGTGGTGCCTAAGACCCAGCAAAGTGCTTGGAAACCTGCAGTTAAGTGCTAAGATGCCTGAATTTTCAGCAGGCAGCCCCCAGCGAAGGGAGGGGGGAGGTGAGCTCCCACCAGCACCCTGTCCTGCTGTGAGGCTGGCTCTGCAGGGCTGAGCTGACAGCCGCCCAGTGGCACATGTTGAGAGAGTGAGCCCCGAGTTTGCTCCCAGGACCTAATAGTTAAGAATCGTTGGGGCTCAAGGGGATTGCACTTCCATACTCAGGCACCTAGAGCTTCCCAGATTTTATTTCAGGTGGTTTTGACCTTTTTTTAAATTATTATTGATTTATTTTGGTCCTAGCCTTAAATCTCTTCTTCTGAAAGGAGAAGAAATTTAGGAGAAGTAAGGTATCCTTACATAAGTCCTTACAGCTTTAGACCATCACAGTTGTAACTGCATTAGCCTTAAAAAGACTTAGACATGATAGAGGACATATTTAAAAGAAGAAAAAAACCAACCCTCATTTTTTCTTCTATGTGTATTGCTGTTCTTACTATCCCCAAGTTAGTGGTCTCCGCAATAATAAACTGAAACAATGTGGGGATACACATACACGCTTAAATGAAGAAAAGTCACAATAACTGTCAGAGAAACTTATTTTCATGAAAATAGTTGTAATGCCAGCCTTAAAACCAGTATCACTGCTGGTAGGACTACACTAGTACCAGTGCAGAGACTGCTGCAGAGGCAGTTCCCGAATATCTGTGTAAATTACTTGTGTAAGTGAAGTCCAGATATAGGCTCACAGTCAGCCTGAAGCAAAACATGACATCATGCGGCGGATTCGCAGCTGGCATGCTATTTCTGTGCAAGCACTGGGTTTTGCAGCGTTAAAGAAATGCAGTGAAGCACTGATTCATGAGGCAATGAGCTGAGCCAACTGAGGCAGCGGAGTGAACCTGGGTGAGCAAGACCTCAGTGAGCTCGCCACTGAATGTGAGGTCCTCTGTGGAGGTGCCTCTCCTGTGACTGTGGCAGAGCATTGTCACACTAGGTGCCACAGGCTATAGGTATACTGAGGAAAAGACAGTGCCCTGCTCAGCACATGCAGCTGAAGAAAAATTTGGGTTTGATACAGACTTCCTCATCATCCCACTCAGTCCCTTTTCCCATGGTTTTCACAGGGGGAAAGCTCTTTGGGATTGATGTTTTTGTAGGCTACAGAAAGACACAGAATGCTTTTGCAACCTAAAAAAACATGCAGTATAACTTCTTTTTTTTGGTGGAGTATTGTGTGTGGGTGTGCATGTGTGTGGAAATAAATTCCCACTAACCATGGTGTATGTGATAAGAAATGGAGCGTAAAGCTTTTTAAATAGATTGCCTTCCACTATTGCAAGTAATAACTTTAAAAATAAAGGAGTGTCTATGCTATTCTGCTTAAACACAAGTCAGGAGACTGCTTTTGTAATGTGCATGGGGCTGTGCTATTTCAGGGGTAGCAGGTTTTCGTGATGGACGTTTCAGCAGCAAGCGATGTTCTGCCACGAGGTGGCTTGAGGATTCCACCCCAACCTGTGCAGAGGTGGCTGTGACATGCAGCCAGACCCTTCAGCTGCCTTTGTACATCCTGACAGAGGTAACTGCTTAGCAGATAGCGTGGCTTTCCATGAGAAGATAGGCCTAATTGGGCTTTTTGAGGGGAGAGCTGCTTGTCTTGGCAGTAGTGCCCTGGCGGAAGGTACTGGATCTTAGCTGGGGCTTGAGCCCCATCTCCTGTAGCTCCCATCAGGCTTACTCAGTTCTCAGGATCTGGGGATATGGAGACAGCCCTCTGTTAGCTCTGCGTTCCCCTCGTTTCCAAGAAGGAATTGCGAGCTTCCCAGACTGTACGTAGGAGTAATTCGTGCGAGGAGGATTGGACCCTCTGTCATTGACAGAGATGCCTGAATTGCTTTTGCAACCTCGCATCTGGCTGCCTGAATGAAGAGGAGGAAAGCAGCCGAGCCAATGCTGACCTTTCATCTTATTTGACTTCCAAATATACCGAATATGATCAGCTGAGCAAACTTCAAGCTTTAGCATTTGTCAGTACATACATTTTCATAATACATGTCATCACTTAAAAAGAAAATTGTACTCTCTGCATATTGCATTTGATGATATGTTGTCTAGGTCAGAAGTTGACGGGATATAAGTTGCTAGGGAAATCTAATAAATGGGCTTCTATGTAAATGTAGTATTACAACCCTTCTGCATGAATTATAGGAGCTCAACTTGCTCTTTAGACAGATTTCATAGGCAGCAGTTTTCACTGCAGGGAAGGATTTAATAATTCTGGTTGTCTTTGATTTGGTAGGCCCTATATTTGTTTTATTTTGCTAGTATGGTTTACAAATTACACACTTGCCGAATTGAATGTTGCAAATTCTGTTTCTGCCCCTAGAGGGGAGTATTGTCCATATCACCACTTTTAAATGATTCTTTTTTTTTTTTTTTAGTAAGAGCGCTGTGGTAAAGAAGCATTAGCAAATATACTTCATATTTTCATAATCTGTATATAAAATAGCTTTGTGAACGGAGGAAAAAGTTGATTATTTCCCTTTAAAAATGTAAAATATATTTAGTTTATCTTCTCTGAAAACTAAATGTTGTAAAAACATAAAGATTGTTTGTTCCATTAAACTATTCTGAAAAATGGGGACAGTGGTTTAAGCAACCTTTTCGGGCTAAGACAACCAGCCTGTCTCAGTGATCTGCATTTTTATACTCAATGGGGTTTGGCTGTAAAGACAGAAGCTCTGATAAAGTTGGCTGTAGGTTGCCAGAAAAAAAGCTATGAGTCTGCCTTTTTTTTGCCAGAACTTGTATGAATTATATCATGCTCACTAGACCTTTGGACCATAACTGAACTTATGGCCAGCAGTTCATAAGGAATTTTTGATGATTTTCTATCAGCTCATAGATACTGAAAAATCTTGTGTCATCACAAGGGCTAGACTGCTTGGAGCCCCACTCTCACCACCATTTTGAAAGGACCCCAAGCCACTTTTGCTACCACTAGGGCTACCAGGCACCTGATATAATTTGGGATTTTAAATATGACTTGGTCATACATCTAAAGAGTGTACAAACAGATTTTTGCCATGTTATTATGGCAGCTGAAAGGTGCCCGAGATCCTGGGAGTGTTTACAGTTGTATCTGTGCCATTAATCTGCAAATGCATAATTTATCAGCTGAAGACTGCAGACGTTTGTCAGTATGGTGTTAAGAAACAGCAGAATTTGTAGTACAGCTTTGAAATAGAGTTATCTATAGCTCCCAGAAGACATTTAAATTCAGGAACGTGTAGGATAGCTAACCACTTGATGGCAGCATAACTATGCTGGTTGCTGCTCTGTGGCGAATACACAGTCATATCTAGGCTGAAAGTATTATTTCTTAACATTAGCACTGAGTGTTAAAATTGTGTGTGCAAGTGTACACATGTCCTGGGTGCATGTTAGCACAAAATCTTCTCACACATGAAGCACATCATTAGCAAGCTAACCATTTTATGCTGTAGAGCTATTGATTATAAAACCAGTTGTCTGGAAGATATGAAGCTGCTTTCAAGACTTCCATTGAGAAAGCCAGGTTTTGCTTGCTTGGGGTTTTTTTGAGAGAAGATTATGCTATGAAAATGTGTAGGTTTTCAAGCGCTGACTTTGCCAGAAGGCAGCTTTTCCCAGATGCAGGTTTACTTGCATGGCCCTGAGCGAGGAGTGACCAGAAAATCTACACTGTAAAATGAACCCTTAGTTTTCAATCAGCTAGCTATCCAGATGGGAACATTTCTGTTCAATTTGAATACGTTGTTCTTATTTCAAAGGGAAGATTTAATTTATGCATCCATTTATATTTACAGAAAAGGATCTGGCAATGCTTTTGGGTATTGTGTAAATATTACAAAACTAATTAGGAGCTATCAAACCATACAAATACGCATTTCTTTTCCCCGTGTTAGACTTGCTGCCTTTCCTTTCATATTAAAGTTTCAAACTGCCTGAAGCTGGAAGAAAAAAAAAAAAGAAAAAAAAAATATTTCTTCACATTGGGCTGAGTCTTGCAGACTGATGAAAAACTGCCGTGGTGGCAAGGACTCTCAGCTGCTTTTCATCAATTCAGATTTTGACAGAGCCAGAGAAAATAGGGATATACAAAGTGAAAGGCCCTTTCCTGAGAATAGCAGCAGGATTCTTGTTTTAACACCAAGCCTATCGGTTCCCTTCTCTCTCTTTTGATTGCACATTGCCCCTTTTCTCAAAGATTGTCCTTCAAGGAACCGAGAT